GTAGCAGGACCAGATGGAATTCCACTGAAAGCATTGAAAACAGACTCAGAGGCAACAGCTGACATGCTCACACCACTGTTGCAGAAGGTTTGCAAGGCAGGAAGTGCAGTTACCGGCTGACTGATTGGAAGAGGGGCTATCTTGTCAAACTCCCGAAGAAGGGAGACCCAAGTCTTCGCAAGAACTGGCGCGGAATTATGTTGTTGTCCGCCCAATGCAAGCAAAACACCAAGCCACTTCATCCTAGAGGGACCAAACAATCCTCCGGATTCAACCGAATTACGACCGGAACAGGCTGCTGGCTGGCCGGCTGGCTTCAGGAAAAGCAAATCACACGCGGATTGAACTGCAACACTACGCTATGCAGCATCATATAGTGGAACATGGAATGGCAGTCAACTGGATAGTTACCTCAACTTCATCGACTTTGGAAAGGCGTCAACCAAGAAGTGCTTTGGCAGCTGCTTCAACACTATAGAATACTACAAACCTTTATCAACCTCATTCAACAACTATATGGAGACGCCACATGCCAAGTGATTCACAATGAAAAGCTCAGTGATGCCTTTGAAATGATTTCTCATGGATATATGATTCGCTTCTCGTTAAATGATCTATTTTTCTTGCCCGTTAGTCGTTATAATCACATTTAACTCAGACTATACCAGTGAAATGGGAGAGGGAAATGAAGTGTTCACCAGATACAGTCTGGTTTTCACAGAGGTAGACAATGGTATCCCCAACCAACAACAGCAAGTGCCAATACCAATGACCATTGACGAGAAAAACCTAAAGCAAGTTGTCTTTTTCACCCACACCCACCTAGGCAGCATCGTCACAACTACAGGCGTCAGCACGGATGAGGATGTCAAAGCCAGGACCGGAAAAGCAAGCAAGATAGGCCTTCATTAACCTGAAATCGGTGTGGAGATGTACTGCACTGTACCCAGTATGAAGCGCCAGGCCAGGACGTCGAGTGGAATCCAAATTGGAAACGACGAGTTGGGCTTCAGGGGCAAGGCTGACACAGAGAAGATTGTGTGAGGAGGGAATGCAAGCTCCTGGGTGGTCATGGACCCGGGTTGAAAAGACTGCAGAGAACAGAGTGCAGTGGAGATGTGCTGCCGAATCCCCATATTCCTCTAGTAACCCAAGAAACATATATATATATATATATATATATATATATATATATATTCTGCCTTACACAGTGAAAGATTCCAAAATTTTATAAACATGTCAGGATTATATTCAAATATATTCTTATAATGCTTAAGTCACCCTTGGCACTCAACCTTTTTCAAGACACCCGTAAAATCTTTGATCTAGGTGTTTATAATCCTTCCCCAACAACTGTCAACAAAATGTTTGTACAAAATTAACAAATAGTAGAATAAAGTGAATTGCTAGAATCTAGGCAGTAGGTGGATATTATGTGAAGCATGCGTACATTGTAATTTTAGTCATAAGATATTGAAACTGTGATCTGTTCAACTGATTCACCAAACCAGTATGTTTCTGTAAATTCAGTTAGTATTGTTAATTAAAGTGTCTGAAGTGCCATCAGTTGGTGAACAGATTTTTACATATTAAATATATAATTAGTTTCAAAGTAAATGTGGATCATAACATGATTCGACAAGCAGGCGGTTGTTTCAATTCTTTCTGAAATCTTAGACTTTTCTTTCATTTGGAGAAACTTTCCTAGTTAGATACTGGTACCTATGACATCTTTTCAAGACAAACTCCCATACGATTGTTCTTTTAGAAAAATCTATCACTTTTCAAAACGGCCTTTTGTGAGGAAACATCACTTTGAGTGATAGATAGTTGCCATCAGTGGAATTTAGGATGCTGCTTTCGTCCTACCCCTCAGTGAGTACCGTTGTTCCCGGTGGCTCGAACCCAGTATCGATCGTCTACAACTCCAGAGCGTTATCCATCATGCAACTAAACCAGACAGATACACCCAGCTGACCTAGCCAGCCCTAAGCGTAAGAAACCACCAGTTCCCACCCCATGTGAGGTACTAACTAAGTCTTAGCTCGTTTCGATGCGACCCTTACTACCCAGTGGAGTTGAACCACTTGAAGTAATGAGTACTTGGGCGGAAATAAATGGGACAAACGGCCAACCAAAAGCACTGGCTACTAACCCCAATTCTCTGCACCCCTGTGGCAAGAGAACGGACTCCATCCCTTTGCCCAGTATCTCCACGCCACGGGCCCACCCTCAGAGGGAGGAATGCAGTCTAACAAGGAGAAACGGGGCCACTACTGACTGAAGCTAGGACCAGAACCCATAGAAGTTATCCCGGCTGTCCTGAGGAAGCAGGGTACTTCGAGGTAATTCGCTACCTCTCAGGGTGTCGTCGATGACGGAGAAACGGCTGGAGGACATACGACCGCTATCACGCCGACCAGACGCTTCAGGTGCCGTGCCGTAAGGGTGAGGCCAGATAAACCATAGGCCACCGTAGGTGTCGAAGGAAGGTCCGTACCTAGTAATCTGCACGAAGCTGCAACCGTGGTGGAGCGTGGAATATCTTAACTAGCAGGTGGATCCACGAAATGTGATTATTAACTCCGTAAGGTTGAGTGGCGGAGATGGCCAGGGGCTAGAATGGGACTAGGAAGTTTACCTGCCTGCGGCGTAAGTCGCTTAACATGATCTAGTCATCTTCAGAGCACCTCTTCACCACGGTTGTTAGCTGTACGCTTCGACTCCAAGGCACTGCTCACAGAAGCAGCCCTCGCAGCATGACGCCGCATGAAATATCAAATTGGAGGTGCCCTACGGTGCTTCGAAAGTAAGCCACAGTCCTCCGGATTGGAAGATAGAGGGCAACCTCCAAGAATACTACAGGCAGTAGTGGTCGCGGAAAAAACTATCTATTTGACTAATGCCTGTAAACATAACGAGGAACACTACCGCCCCGCCAGCACCAAATAGGCCAGGAAATAACTTTGGCTTGCACGACCCTGTTCCGAAGGAACGGGCAGTTCAGAGAAGGTGGAGAAGTGGCCACGCACATTAACAAGCACATAAGAGTCAAGGAGGCTACTGATAATGTGTTTGGCCAACTGCAAGACTACTTGCGGTGCCATTTCACCACCGACTAAACAAAAGTGTCCATTCGAAGTGGGATATAGACCTCCCCTATGCACAACAGAGCATAAAGCGGGATTGCTTACCATCGTTTCGGCATCCGCCTCAGAAGCTTATGGCCGTATAGTCCTCGCCGCAGATTCCAACCCACGGCCACAACCTGGCACGTGAAGTAAGCTGTAGACATAAATCTTTGGGAAATAGATTTAAGAACACATCTACAGCGGTAGGACTAACAGGGAAAGTTGGAGAAAATATCCGATGGGAACCAGATGCAGAGGATCACGACTTATCAGCGTTCTAACACACGATGATCTTTTGGTGTCCGGCCCTTCCCTAGGCAAATACAATCACACTTCAATGAGATTGTCCCCCATAACCAAAAAACCCTTAATAGTGGGACAAGAAGCGTTCCGCAGACCACCATCTCATGGACAGCGAACTCCCAGGGGCTCTGTGACGACAAGAACGAGGACTCACTATCGGTAGACTAACGTTGGATAAGTGCTGAAGATATTATCTGGAATGCTTTCGTAAAGAGCGTTCCAAAGTTAACCAAAAGACCACCTCCCAAACGGTCTTGGGTAACCCGCGCAACCCTCAGGCAAGTACGGAGGAACAAGAAAAGATGGTGTTGATGGCATACATGAGACAAGGAACCGGGCTTTCTTACCCACAATAAGTTAGCCGATCCAAGTAATATGAGTGCTAGCAGTGACGAGCACAAATACCAGGGTTACTTAACCAAACGTCTAGGTTACTACCGAAAAGCTTACGAAAACCGACGAATGAGGATTTTAATCTGACCGCGGAATGGAGTGGACAGCCTTTAAATAGCACTGAGATGGCAAAACCATTAGGAAATCAATTCGACGAGCAGCTCAAAGCGGTGATGCACCTACCACCAACATCCAGCAATTTGGCGAAGCTCCAGAACCGCGATACAAAGCTGATGAATGTAAAGATTTCATCAAGCCAAGTGTTGGTGAAACTTTCAACACTCAGAATAGGGAAATCTCCAGGTGGTGACGACATAAGATCGGTAGTGCTACGGAGTTGTGTCGGGATCTTAAGCATGCCTATATGCAGCCTGCTCACGCAGTGGCTGAAAGTAAGCCAACTCTTCGAAGAATGGAGGCACTCTATCCTTCCACCGATCTTCAAAGGAGGATAGAGAGGAAAATTCCATACAGTCAGAGACTGATGGAGTTACCCCCCATGCTATCCAAAGTACTTGGAAGGCTGGTCGCAGACGTCGTTTGGACCACCTAGACAGTAGCATGATCGTCTGCCTGACCCGACTTGGCTTCAGAACCAAACGGCCATGTACCACAAACTTGATGGCCGCTTGGGATGACTGAACCAATGGGTCGAACAGCAAGCAACCAGTCCATGTTACCTTTCTGGACTTGGTCAAAGCTTTCGATAACAAGCCATACTACAGCATTCTCGCCAAACTCGCGAAACTGGTTATCATGGAATGGTGTACAGTGTATCTGGAGAACAGAGAATCACGTACCAAAGTGAGTGGGATCCAACCGGCTTTGAGGCATGCAAGAACAGGAGAAGAACACAGCGACTTCTGGTACCATCGAAGGAGCATTACTGAATAAAAGGAACCGAGCTTCAAGGCCTAGAAGCGATAGCTCAAATACTACAAATTTGCTCCTTTGCCACTATTGATGTTGGATGTTGAATTGCAGGCAGGAAAGTGATTGCTCCTTCCTTATATACACAGTATATTCAGCTTAGCAAAAAACCTCAGGTAAAAAAGGCAGGAGTTTAGAAAGGAACATTTTAAGTTATTTCATGAATTATTCTGAACATTGAATCACACATTCACGGTCTCAGTAAGCGTGGGAGTTGTAAACACAAGTAGTACATCGTCAAAGATGAACCATATAGCTACACCGGCTATTCCTATCATCCCTCCAGTTGCCACACCCAATCTGCTTGTGGGACTTCCACATCTTGCAGCTCCTGGGGCCATTCCTTCTGTCACTCCTGCAGTGGTTATGCCGCAGACAGTTGCCCCCATGCCAGAGGCAATTGGTCAACCCAATAATACTATATATATCAATAACCTGAATGAAAAGGTCAAACGAGATGAACTAAAGAAATCCCTTTATGCTGTTTTCGTCCAATTTGGTCAAATACTTGACATAATAACATGTGGGTCTCGTTGTTTTGTGTTTATTGGTGCTAAATGGACAATTTATTTTCTTGTTGATAGCTTCATTTGTCGATTTTCATAGACCCTTAGGTGTCTCATGTGGTTTATGAGGTACACCTACTCAACTTACGGTATTTCAACCGGTAAGCACTTCGAGTGCGCTTGACCTTTTGACAAAACTAGATTAGGCACATTTCTAACTAAGCGATATCCCCCCAATTAATCCCAACTTATTTCAAAGTGTGGTCAAGTGTTTTTGTCACAGGTGTATTGGATATTAAGCCCGCCCGGAGTTTTCAGGGATTTAATTAAATCTGAGATGCTTTTTCGGTCATACTCAAAGTTTCGGAGGTACTTCTGGGGTAAATTTCAACTAGAAAGTAAGGCCTCCCTGTTATTATAGGTAATCCTTTTAGGTTTTTAATTAGGTTCTGTTTTGTGGTATGGTGTTTGGAATGATTGTGATATTTTCGCATTCGAATTCACTTTAGGTAGCTTTACTCATACATTATATTATAGTGGTACTAGGTGATGATTGAAGGTGTGGTGAAAATCTGGACTGTGGCCGGATTTAAACCAGCGACCACTTAGTTACCGGCCCGGTGCTCTACCAGCTAAGCTGTGAGGTCCGACTGCTGACCAGAATTTCATTTCACTTCAGTCGCCAAGGGTTTTGCCCGAATACGATGTGAACTCGTGACGCTTTACTACCGCTTGATCGTATTCATACTAGCTGCCTAGTCAGGACTTTTCATCCCAATCCAGACCTAACTGAATCAATATGATGCTCCCCCTCTCTGATTCAGTTAGGTCTGGATTGGAATGAAAAGTCCTGACTAGGCAGCCAGTATGAATACAATCAAGCGGTAGTAAAGCGTCACGAGTTCACATCGTATTCGGGCAAAACCCTTGGTGACTGAAGTGAAATAAAACTCTGGTCAGCAGTCGGACCTCGCAGCTTAGTTGGTAGAGCACCGGGCCGGTAACTAAGTGGTCGCTGGTTCGAATCCGGCTGCGGTCCAGATTTTCATCTCAACTTCAATCATCACCCAGTATAAGTACTAGTCTGTCAAACTACGGCTATCTTAGGTAATCAAGTCATAGAAAATATTATAGTGGGTCGATAAGTCAACTGTGTCGAATTGTCCAGCAGATTCTTTTTTGTTGACCACAAGTCAAACGTTTGTAATGCTCTCACTACCTGAAGTGTTTGTATTTAACCAATGCACGTACTAGTTATTGTAGACTTTCATTAATGTATTTAGTACACTCCGATTTAAGTCGTAGTCATATGTCCGGTCTCGGACAAATGCATAAACCAGATACTGTCTTCACAACTCAAAAAAACTCATCAAACGTAAATTCGGGTTGCTTTCTGCACAGGTTCTTCTGATCAAAAAATTAGGTAGTCAGTTGGGAAATTACAAATGTTAGTTTGGCAGTTTCTCAATCGATTGGTCGTTTATTTTATGCAACTATCCAGCTTTCGAATATTTCGAGGTGCCATCAGTTTAGCTACGAGAAAATGTAGTACTGAGTACCCCGAAAAATTTATGGGTCTGTGGCTCATTATTCTAGGTATTCGACTATAGACGAGTTAGTCACGCGTTTGAAACCCACCCCACTTACCAAGTTTTGAGTAACCAGGCTGCACTCACACAGTAAATGTGGCTCACTGCCCACTGAATGAACATACAGGTGTTTGCTGATTCTTGTCGGACTTTTTCTGCGGTTGTTATCATTTAGGCCGAACGTCTAATGATAGACTAGCTAGTGTAGGGATAGCATTGAGCTATTAGAGAGACAAACAAAATCAGTGTAAAACCTCACATACAGCTGCATAGTCTCAAGTTGCTATACCACAGTAGCGCGCGAAACAGGTCGATATAATAAGTGGTACCAAAGTAGATGAAGTTATGAGAAAATAAACAATCTAAAGACCTAGCTTAGTGTGAATATTCAAGCTTAAGAAGACGTCATGGAGTGAATATATTGAACTACAGAGCGGAAAGTGCACTTCTCGATTGGATACTAGTCAACAGCGGTCTACTATACGTTCGTCTGAGTGGATCTGTAAGACCTAAAGTATCTTGAGACCAACCAATGCATTATTGTATTCTCCTCCGAATGCACTTTGGGTCGTGCAAAGGATGAGTTCTATGAAAAGCTTTCAATTTCGCTAAAAAGAGCAAAACGTTTAAATGTAGTCACAATGGCAGGCTACGTTAAAGCACAAAAACGGAAGTTCAGTCCATCGAAAAGGTATCCTCGGGGTAGTTACACAATCCCATACCAACAAACTGACTACGGTGATCGTCTACTGCAACTTTATTCTCATAATCAACAATAACTTGAAGCATAAGAAGAAACATTGTCTCACACGGTGTCCACCAACATTAAACCAACAGATAGATCATATTGCAGTAAGCCACCGTTGGAATAGGTCAGTGGAGGATTACCGCTCTTTTTGGAGTACCACTTCAGGCTCCGATCACGCGTTTCTACTGGTATGACTACATAAACGGTTTGCTGGTCTCAGGAAACAGGCGATAGTAAAGCCTGTCTATGCTCAGTTGGAAGACGAGAACACCAAGTACGTATCTAGGGAGGAGTTAGCTAAACATTTACCTGAATGTGACTGCAATGCTCATTCTGAGGAAACCCGGGGTGATATCCATTCTGGCGTAGAAACAGAGGTTAAGACGATTGGTAACCTACACACGAAGGTTAGCAAATGTCATTGGATTTCTGTGACGTCATCATAACTGAGTGATGCGAGGAGACTAATTCCAGTGGTCCGTGACCACGATGAAGAGCGAAATCAACTTCAACATAAGTTGACCAAGAGATGAAGGAAGCATCATTGGTGGGTAACACTCGACAACTATTTAGGCTTATCAAAGATACCGGCAACAAGGAAATAAACGTTAGTGAAACCATCAGTGTAAAGGATGCGATGCTGATAACCTCTCAGTGTAGGCGGCTAGAACGTTGGTGAGAAGACAGTGAAACAGTTCAACTGGCCTTCAGCAACGCTTCAGTTGCTCAACACCCAGTCATCTTGAACCTGAATGAGATGTACATGTCCGTCCTTCAACTCTCTTTTAGGTTGAGAAGGGTGTGTCGAACCTGAAACGATGCAAAGCAGCAGAACCTGACAGTTTACCATTAGACGTTTTCAAGGATGGAGGTGGTAAACTGATGATTAGAGTAACGGAGGCACTAAAACCTATATGGGGATCAGAGGTAGTGCCATCAGACTGTTCTACTTGTCTTATCATCCGAGTGTATAAGAAGAGACAGAAGTCTTCCTGTAACAACCATAGAGGAATTAGTTTGACTGATCTCCCCATGGTTCTTGGGTGCATAGTTATATAGCGTCCAACTAGAACTGGAGAACAAGAAACTCGGGAAAACCAGGCAGGTTTTAAACGGGACTTGATGCGGGTGCATTGATCAGATTTTCATCCTTCGACAGGTCCTAAAATATAGGCATACTTACCAGCGACTCACACGCCACATTTCTTGACCTGAAGTTGGCATTTGACTCCGTCAACCGTGAGGTATTGTTACATTGTCTGACTGTGAAGGGAACATCTAGCAACCATATGACACTAATCAAAGCTATCTAGTCGAACCCACACAGCTGCGTATTGGGCATGTAGAGGGTTTTCATCAGAATTGACGATAACTAATGGTATCCGCCATGGATGCCCGCTGTTGCCGTTTCTACTTGATTTCGCTATTGACGTACTAATGGACACAACGTTAGGTACATCTAATTTCATAGGGAACGACCTGCTCCCTGAAGGTCGTATGGTTGGCTTGGTTAGGTGAAAACGTCGGCGAAATCCAGAGTCTTCTGAACGCGTTTCTCAGAGATCTTTGGCATGAGTTTCCCAACTTTCGAATCCAAAATGATGCTTTCCGACTTCTCTGCAACCACTCGCATCTTATCGGTAAGAAGTGAGGTGGTGAAGTACGTCGACAAACTCACTTACTTGGGAAGTTGGATCAGTCCGAACAGGTTGGTTGTTGATGAAATCTCAACGTTTTGTATTTTCCAACTTGTGTTACCCGTAGGGCCGATTGGTGAGATATCTGCCCATTGACCGAAGGATGAGTACACTGCGCTATATTCAGTTCTGTCATTTTGTACGGCTGACATGGCAGTTAAAAGCAGGAGACATGAAGTGGTTACAGGTGTTTAATAATAGGTGTCTTCGTAGTATTGCTCGCGTTTGGTGGAATCACTGCTGAGAAATGTCGAGGTTAGGCGATGGTTACCAGGCAAAAAAGGCAAGTCACTTGGTGAGGTTGTGGACCTTAGTCGGCTGAGATGACTTGGACATAGAGCATGCCAAGCCACCGCCTACTTATACGTGCCAGGCCGGGGGAAGTTGGATTAGGTTAAAAGAAAGTTCAGAATAGCCAGACCAAGACATGACAGAAGTGTGAAGTTTCTTACTGTTAGTCTGAGTCACCTGGGGAGATGTAGACTATCTTGATGTAGCCCGTGAAAAGAAAAAAAAATCAGTGGTTGAGGATTGTTGTTGATATAGCTAGAAATCGGTCACAATGGCGCAGATGTATTCACTCCTTGACATCTTGTGAAGCTTGAATATTTGCACTAACCTTTATCTTCAGCTTGTTTATTTCCTCACACGACTTTATCTACTTCGATATCACTTTCTATCCACCTGTCTTGTGTACTATTCTGAAGTGTGACAACTTGAACCGATGCACCTGTGTGCGAGGTTCTGCGTTGATTTTGTCAGTCAGTCATTTAAAATTAGTCAATCACTGTTCAAAACGTTTAAGGAAGGTGACATGGAGTGGGCAGCAGACTCGTGTTCGTAAAGCATTTAAGTGAACGATGTCTCCACTTTTATACACATTTATAATCTTTGGAGCCTTTTTACTCGCAAAAACAGTAAGCAGTGGGTTTTTTAGACTACTCACCTCAATAACAAGTCATGTATTCTTAAGGTTTAAAGCGACCAGTCACTAATTTAAGCTTTAAAAGCTGCCAGTACCTTCCTGGAATAGAAGGAAAGCAAAGTTTTGATAATTAGAGATTTACAGCAGATAAATTCGTTGTGACAAGCTAGTAGGATTTGCCACTGATAAGTCTTTATCGGTAACTTGTAGGTCGTTAACAAACCTAAATTCTATCTTAAAAATGGTAACACAATAGTTTGGCACGTATAATCTCACAAAAACTAGAAATAATCAAGTCTTTATGGACATACAGTACATTTTAAGATTACAGAACTTTTTACAATGATTTTAAAAAACATGGAATTCGTAGGTTTGTTTTTGAAGTATCATCTATCTCAAGGCCTACACGAGTAGCATTTATCTCAGCGAACTAAAGGCATCCACTGGACGAACTGTAGACAAAATTGTTTTAAAGCATGAGGTCTAGTTGTTTCCACCATAGTTCTTTCCTTACATGCATAACAGTGAAACAGTATTGTTTACTGATGACGTTTTGAGCAGGATTTACTACTGATAATCATAACCTTGATATCATTATGAGCAGTAAATTTCACTTGAACTGTCATTAGTAAATAATACTGTTTCGCTATCTGATACATACAAAATGGAACTATAATGAAGCTATACTCTATCACAGGGCCCAGATTCTATTCTCATATTAAAGTCTGAGTGAATTCTAAGTTTCAACACGAGAGCTATCTGCCCTACGAGTCGTTTCAAAATTCTGCGGTTATAAAACAAGCGTTTATTTTCTGATTAAGCAAGTTCAAGACAATGTTTATTTTTCAAAATAGACCGTTATCATGCTGTAAATGTTGGGTATTTTACCCAACACATTTGTTAAAGTTTGTCTACCAGATCAGTAAGTCCTTTTTGCTCACACTTTGAGTTTGCATGTTGAAAATTCGTGCAACTCAAAGTAGCTAACAAACGATACAACTGACCGACTTAAATAAACGATGCTTCAGCTAATTACTATTTACCTGACTTATGAATATAACTGTTACTCTAGTCAGAAAGATCAACAATCAGGTTTGTCGTTTCTTCAGTGTGCCCACTTAAGTGAGCATATATTTTAAGTGATTTTTCATCAGAATGTGGATTGTGGTTTATTCAGCAAAATTATCAATAGCTGGAAGATAAATGGCAAGGCTTTCATAGTTCTGAAACGGTTAAGACGCGCTGGACTGGAGTTTATATTATTAGATACGACTGGAATGGGAAAACTTTTCCGTTTGTTTATCGGCTTTTGATGTGTCAGTGAACTGATTCGATCTGCAGCCTTGTAATAAGATACTTATGCTTTTTACCTATCGTTTGGTGCTATCTTATCGATGAAATCTTTTTTCCAAACTTGTCAAGTTCTAGGTGTTTGGTGTGAATTACTCCAAATAGTATCCTAGAAATTGTTTTTACTTGCTCTTGGTCTGAAAATAAGCAGTAGAGTAAATGGGTAACTTGAAGATCCAACTTACCTGAAGTTATTTTCATTATAGGTGGCGACTAAACCTGATAGCTGAAAAAGAAACAGTGACTAAAATTCTCTCACACAAAGTAATTCAAAATTAGTTATCTTCACTCACTTATCAATCGATAAATGTGTGGAACTTTGATTTGGTATAAGTCCATAATAAAATGTTCGGAGATAGGTGTAAGGTTATGGGTTTAGTTATGATGATAATGAGATCATAGCTTCTACATGACAATTACCATGCAAACAACGATGTTAAGTGTAGATTCGTAAGTGCGACAGATACGTCAGTTGATATTATTGTGAAAGATAATTCGCTACGATGCTTGAGGTATTTTACACACGAGCTGCTAGCTATCATGATACGCAATATTAGCTTGAAAATGTTGGAGGGTGATTATGGCTAGATATGACATCAGTTCTTACGATTGGGAGGTATCAGCATGCAGCGTATAGGGAAATATAAACATAAAATGAATGCCACTGTTGTAATTCCATTCAGTCACTATCTAACTGTTAAGATTTTTGAGATTTCTTCATTATGTATCGATATTCACTTCCTTTTCTTGAAGCCATTATTCCTACTGTTAGAGTCTCAGTGTAATCATTTGCCTGTATTTATCATCCTTTCGGAGTCAATACACTGTTTTACTTTTTAGTACTTGCTACATAGGAATTGAAGTACTCTCTGAGATTTAATTACCTTCATTTTATTTATTTACTTTAAATTGTTTGTCCTTCATATTATCTGTAATATATTCAAGCGTAACCCATATTTCAGTATTCTGTACTACTTTGCTTTGCTTTTAGCGCGAACACTGAAAATGCGTGGTCAAGCCTTTGTTGTTTTCGACGATGTCAGCAGTGCATCCACAGCACTTCGAGCAATGCAAGGTTTCCCACTTTATGAGAAACCAATGCGAATCCACTTTGCCAAAGTCGATTCTGATGTGATTGCTAAGCGGAAAGGTACTTTTGTGCAACGACCGAAAGCCGCTTCAAGAGCAGCAGCAGCTGCTGCTGCCGCCGCCGCTGCAGAAGCTGCAGCATCTGCTGCCGCACTTAATTCAGCAGGACCTCAAGGGGGTACTAGTGCAAGAGCCATCCGTAGAAGACAACAAAGAGCAGCTGCTGCAGCTGCAGCCGCCGCCGCGGCTTCCACGACCATTAATACGGACAACAATGAAACTAATTCGAATGGTGTTGATCAGCCAGGTAGTTATCGTCCCCCTCCACCACCGCCTCCTGTGAACCCGGCCACCATTCCAGATCAACCACCAAACAAAATTCTCTTCTTAACTAACCTGCCAGATGATTCTGATGAAGCTATGTTGAGTATGCTGTTCGGACAGTTCAGTGGCTACCGAGAGGTACGTATGGTCCCCGGCAGACATGATATTGCTTTTGTTGAATTTGGAAATGAGGTAGAAGCATCAGCTGCAAAACTTGGCCTTCAGGGTTTCAATATTCGACCTGGTAGAGCTATACGCATTACTTTTGCTAAGAAGTGAAGTGTTCAAACTGTGAATTCATTCTGATAGTCAACCTTCAGACTCATCATTTTATACGTGTACATGTTTCAAATTAACAATAAAGTTAAAATTTCACCTGGTCCTTCTGACTTTTTCGCATAAATGTCATAGATTGGTGAATATGATACTGTATGATTGCTTGGAGTGATAACGTTTGCTGTTTGACTCATTTTTTCAGCAACTGTAAATCCAACTCGTATTTCGTTGTACTGTTGTTTCCATGCAATTATACTGGGCATTACTATCTTGGAAAAGAGTAATTTTGACCTACTGAGGCTTGTCATTGGTTATATATATATGAGTAGGGGACCTTGGGGTTCATGTTGCGTCTTCACCAAAGCTGGATTCAAAAAGTAATCTTGAACATCAACTGAAGCATGCTTTTTGAGTTTGAAATCAAAGTAGGAAAAGAAATAATCAGTCGCTTTTGAAAGTATGCTTACTATAAATTCCAATTTTGATGTCACCTGGATCACAGAAGTAATACGAACTCTGTTAACATCATGCTTAAGATTTAAAGTGTGCATACGTTCAGTAGCGATCTCATATTCTTTCTCCCTATTTTAATTGCAAAATCAAAACTAACTTTCTGTATATGTTTTGTAGCTTTTTGTACATCAAGTGCTCCTTCAGGACAGCTGTCACCTAGTGTATAACAGTGATTTTCATGAATTTTAGTACTGAGGAGAATTATCATTCCAATATTTTAATCCATTTTTTGATATGCCATATCAGTGATCGATTTAAATCATGAGTATATTGATCATCTCACACCCTGGTCACGTAGGAAAAGCTTCGTTGTACAAATCATCAATCACGCGTACTATGCTTCCAACCGCTTATATGGCACGGACCTACTAATCGATAGTCAGATGCCCTAGACAATGCTTCATGGTGTATGGTTCACACAAAATACTTTTTGTGAATAGCAACAATGATAAATATTGCTGGCTTGCGATATGAATGTTTAAATCGTTTAACAAGTTGCGACCATACGCAGTTATGCTGAATCTTGTGTTGTTTATATATATATACCTACAACGATCTTCAGTTGCTGTAACTGTCTTATTTTTCATATCAACATTTTTTTGCCACCAACTCTAGAGGATCAAACAAGTTCCAGAGAAAATACTGATATGTGGTATATTTTTTACATATTTGCGGAACCAGATTCTTAGTTGTCTATAGTTTCTAGTTTAAGTACAAATCATGCACGATTTAGTTGGAACCTGCAATTGATAGAGACATACCAGCTGATAGTGTGTACTCTAGTTAATAACGTGAGTTCCATGATAAGACTCAGGTACTCCATTGTGTTGCCACGGTTTATGGACATCTATTCCACTAGTTTCAGTAGTAGATCAATGGGATCGATTAACTGAAGCATATAAGTATCCGTAGATGTATAACGGGATATAACTTATAAAGAGTGTGAATTGTTTGTGTAAAGTGCAGTAATTAGCCTTCAAGTGGAGTTTTTTTTAGATTACGCTGAAGCCTTTTTTCACTCTAAGCATCCCATAGATGTTGAAGTAAATACTTTGTAAAGAGGTTTAGTCTGCCTACTCATAATCTCAATCGATGTATGTTCCCAATCTCATAAACTGATTCAACTTCCTCACCGAAAACGACGAGCATAATCTAGACATACATGATTTGACAGCTAAAATAGATGCTTGCTATGCTTTACAGATATTGGTCACCAAGGTCTGACAGCTTTCAATTGTTTATCCCTAGTAAGGAAACAATGTTGCTTAAGATTCTTGTGGTTATTTGTGAAGCTGCTTAAACTGCCTTCTGTGGAATCGGATTCAATAATTTATTTATCCTAACCTTGTTAGTTATTTCTAACGGTAAACACGAAAAGTTTTCATTGTGGACAATTTTTTAATCTTTAGTGAGTCATTTGAAGCGTTAAAAACCATAAGATATTAAAAATAACCTTTCCTGTTATGAGCTAAAAATCAAACCTTGGCGAAAACAGAGAAACTACAGCATGATTTCTACTAGTTCAGGTGCTTAGGCAAATCTAATAATGCCCTCAACTACCGAGTTGCATGATCCCTCTAGCCCCCACTCAAGGAAATATGTACCCAAAGCGATAAGAATATCCTTCATGTCATGAACTTACCACCTCTCCATTTATTCCAGCTAATCCTGAGGTTAGCAAAAGGTTAATAGCATGTAAGCCATTAAAAAGGCATATGTAAGTCATTAAGACTAGTGTTTCATGTCGACACTACCTATTAAGTGACAATCTCCACCATGCGTGAACACAGCGCTCGATTTCAGAACTAACTGCATAGTGTTGTCATGGGATGCGAACTGTCTTACACAGGCAACCGTGCTAGTCAAACACTCAGCTGGGAAAATCTTGGTCTTACAGGTTTACAGCAGAAACGCTTTCACCAAAACGTTGCGCACGTACTTTTCAAAAGTCGGACTAGCATTGCAACACCAATGAAGGTAGTTCAAACAGGTATGTACCGCTCTGGTTTTGCTATGGAGTTGAAAATTATCAATTTTCTCTCGATCAACAATCACAAGTACCCAGTCACACGAATTTCTCGGTTACTTCCTTACTGATACTGTTCTGCAACTGATTGACCGTAGTGTAATTGGCTTTTATATTGCGACTCAGTAAGGTGATATCGCCCATACAGAGGGTTCTTTCTTGGTCTCCATTTTTTAGATTTCTGACCACTGTATAATCTACCATACAGACGCCAGACATGTCGCAGGTGATTAGTGAGATGATGTGTGGCAGGTCCCAGCCGTTGTCAAGTCAAATACTTGTTTAGACTTTCCAAAATTTCGATAGTTAGTCTTCAATCCAGCTCAGTTTTATAATGCCTAATAAGAGTTACGGAAAGTTGTTTTAGCAGTTGGCAACTTACACTATGTGGCACTGACAACTACGTATCAAGAATACGTGTATTATGCAGCACTACTGCTACATCAACAACTGAAGTGAGGTAGTTATAGATTCTCCATCACTGTACTGCTCACCTTGTACAACAACTGTGTGAACAATGTTGAGTTTGGTTTTAGAGTGTTAAACGAAAAGGACAAGTTAGTTATGGGTATGTGACATATACTGAATGACATCTACCTCGATGTGTGGTGAAATGGGATTAATTTGGGAGGAAATTAAGGCACTCAATCCAATAATGATGTTTATGTTGGTTTTAGACATGAAGAGGTGTGTGAACTACTTGGATCGGGTCATTGAGATGTCAGAAATCAATATCTTGGTCCCCTTCTTGTTATGGCTAGGAATTGGCTTAAGTAAGACAATTTTGAAATTCTGGATACTATATTAGGCTTCATTGTAATGTCATTGAGCTTCCTTCTTTGCTTTCGTGAATCATGGCAACTTTGCGCAGTGAAGTCCCACGTCAAATTGTCTGGTTGTTTGAGACAACTAAGGTCTTCGATGGAAGATTGGTATTTTTAAAGATGTAATCAGCGAGATATATCTGTAGAGCTGTGGCTCATTGGTTTTATACAATTGACTTTCAACCAATGGGTTACTTATCAGGCTTTCGGAAGCCGGGTAGTATCTTCAGGTGTGGCTCATTGCCTACTGCATAACTGCGCACGTGGTTGCTGGGTGCGTTTCATTTATTTTACGGTGTATCCGAGATCCAAAGGTATATCGTATTCCAAATGCTTTAATGTTCTTGTCATGAGGTTTATAACTTGTCACTAAGTACACAGTAATTCGTAGTGTCAAAAGAATTTAAGTGTAATACAATCATGAAGTATGTGGTTGCTTACAATTTACTTTTACATAATACCAATATTAGTATTTCTTTCATAGCATCACTTAAGTATTCTATCCTTCCGAAACTACACTGATGATGGTAACTTACAGCTGATTAAAGTCTGTCATCATTAATTTCAACTCAGAGTTCACTATCATTTGTGCGTATGAAGTGGGAAACATTTAACTGAATGGTTCAGAACTTCATAGTGCGTTTGGTCATTTTTCATCAACTCACTTGCGACATCTTTGAAACGCACAAGTTTCTGACTAATTTAGCAAAAACCTTATAAATTATTGAACCAACTTGTTGGTATTATGAGTCCCTTGGATTCAACTGATTAAGTAATTATCATTTGACTATCTAAGATAGCTGTAGTTTGGTAGGCTGGCATTTTTACTGGATGATGATTGAAGGTGAAATGAAAATTTGGATCACGACTGGATTCGAACCAGCGACCGCTGGGTTTCCGGCCTGATTCTCTACCAACTGAGTTACGAAGTAAAATAAAAATCTGGTTATCAGCTGGACCTCGTAGCTCAGTTAGTAGAGCATCGGGCAGAAAATCCGGTGGTTACAGGTTCAAATCCGGTCATGGTCCAAATTTTGACTAAGTAATCTGAGGTTGGATTCAATACGGGAAGAAATGTTATTTTGACTGACAGATCAAGTCTGTAACCATTGTCTTTCTATACTACATATATATTTTATCAACATTTATACCTGCGAACTGTTCATTACTTGTCTTGGTCCCCAGCGTAATCGAAAGCAGTAAATTTATTTTATGTTGTAGAAAATACTTAGTGTATGTGTAATCATTTTTTAAGATGATTGACATGATGATAATGATGGAAACTCAACTTGTTGATAATCTAGCAAGCATGTTAATTTCGTGTATTTATCATTCATTAGCTTAGGCGATACAATTTTAAGCAATTAGTTTCATCAGTCGTCACACGATAAATATGGCTCACACTTCAGTGTCGAAGTTCACATATATGACCACTATTACTTTCTAAGTTGTTCATCTCTCTTCTATATGATTTTTATTCACAAATAAAGTGGTCATGAAGAATATTTTATCTTCATCTTTTTGTTTCTGAGGGCTCACACTATGAAAAATTCTCAAAAGTATTTGCATTTATGCGTGTTTATGTTTTGAAAATGAATCAAATTCTATTTCTTTTCTTTATAGATTAATTATTCGAAATGGATATACGCCCAAATCATACACTGTATGTAAATAATTTAAATGATAAAGTGAAAAAGAATGATTTGAAAAAAGCACTGTACTATATTTTCAGTCAACATGGCCGATTAATTGATATTATTGCGATGAAAACAATGAAAATGCGTGGACAAGCATTTATTATTTATCAGGATATCGCATGTGCAACACAAGCTTATCGATCACTGCAAGGCTTTCAGTTATTTCAACGAGTGAGTTCCATTCCCCTTTTTTACCAAATGATATTATTATTATTATTATTATTAGTAGTAGTAGTAGTAGTAGTAGTATTAGTAGTATTATACACGATGTAGTGTTGCTGTTAGACAGGAAATGAAGTAGAATCACTGATAATTATTTCTATTTTTCAGTTAAGAATTTTCCTTTCCCTAAAATTAGCTTTCACCACAGACTGACACCAATCAAAGATCGGTCAGGAAACATGCAACAATGAAGACGAACTATAATCCCTGCTTTAAGATAATTTGCCAGCACTTGCCGTAGGATCATTGTTACATTCGTATTCAAAGTGTTTGCTATTCGTGGTGAACATTTTGTCACTAAATTAGAAAACTAAGACCAATGTACACTTTCGCGCAATTATCTATAGATCCAAGTTGTTGCAGACAGGTAAAATCAAAGTAGAACCTGGCATGTTAGTCTGCCGGTTCACGTTTTTATACTTGATAGTAGCATACAAAGAACAAGTGCATGGCAAAAGAGTGATATCAAAGTACACAAAGTTGAGTGACAGAATAAACAAATCGAAGATAGAGGGCAATGCAAATTTTCAAGCTTTTGAAGATGTCAAGAGGTGAATACATCTGCGCTATTGTGACCAATTTTCAGCCATGTCACTAACAGTCTTCAACCACTGATTCCTTTCGTCTCACCGGCCTCAGCCACACAGTCTATATCTCTCCCTACTTAACTCAAGCCAACAGTAAGAGTCTTCATCGACTGGTGATACGTCTTGGTTTGACCACCCAGAATCTTCTTCCAACTCTTAGCTTGGGACGTCGAGCTAGGCGGTGGCCTGACATACGCAGTACACGTCTAAGCTATCTTGTTTGACTAAGGTTCACAATCTCATCAATCGAGTTGTCTGTCTTGCCTAGTACTGTTCGTCTGACCTCGATATTGCTCACACAGTGATTCCACTAAGTACGATCAATGCTACGAAGAAATCTATGATCAAAACTCGATAATCACTTGATGTCATCTACTTCTAATGACCATTTCTCACAGGGGCACAACAGGACAATTGAATGTGGTGCAGTATACTCGTTCTTTGATCGATAGTCGGATATCATCTAGCCAGTCGGTGCCACAGGTAAAAAGTTGGCAAGTACAAAGCGCGCTGAGATTTCGTCAACAACCAACCTGTTCGGGCTGATCCAACTTCCCAAGTAAGTGAAGTGTTCGACACATCCCACCACCTCACTTCCTACCAATAAGCTGGGATTGGATAAGTCATGAAGCATCATCTTACATTTGACTGGTGCGAAGACACTCAGATTTCCGCTCAACGCGTTCAGAAAACGTGGAATTCCGTCAACGTCTTCACCTAACAGGATAATATCGTCTGCATACTCCAAGTTAACCACATGACCTTCGTAGAGTATATCAATCCCTGTGAAATCAGATGTACCTAAAGTGATGTGCAATAGTGAGTCAATAGCGAAGTCAAGTAAAAACAGTGACATCGGTGATCCCAGGCGTACACCACTAGTTATCGTCAATTCTGATGACAACTCTCCATAAGCCCTTAAACAGCTGCGTGGGTTCAACTAGAGAGCTTTGATCGGCATTATATAGTTGCTCGATACTCCATTCGCGGTCAGACACTGCCACAACACCTCAAGGTCGACAGCACGAGACGCAAGTTTAACGCGAAGAAATGTGGCGTGTGGGCCGTCAATATTTATGCCAGGATTCTAGGACCTGTTGTAGGATAAAAATCTGATCGATGCACCCTCACCAAGCCCCATCTGGAACCTACCTGGTTTTCCCGAGTTTCTTGTTCTCAAGCTCCAGTTAGTCGTTGCATAACTATACACCCAAGGATCATGGAGAGGATATTAGTCAAACTCATTCTGATAGACCGGGATGATCAGAAAAGTAGAACAGTCTGATGGCACTACCTCTGATTCCCATATACGTTTTAGTGCCTCCGTTACTCTAACCATCAATTTACCACCTCCATCCTTGAAAACGTCTAATGGTAAACTGTCAGGTTCTGCTGCTTTGCATCGTTTCAGGTTCGACACACCCTTCTCAACCTAAAAGAGAGTTGAAGGACGGACATGTACATCTCATTCAGGTTCAAGATGACTGGGTGTTGAGCAACTGAAGCGTTGCTGAAGGCCAGTTGAACTGTTTCACTGTCTTCTCACCAACGTTCTAGCCGCCTACACTGGAGCACCCAAATGCAAATTTTTGCTCCAGGACTGGTCTTCAGCGGTACCGCGGTTAACAATAGAGAGTGAAGTGGTTGAGTGTGTTGACCACTTCATTACCTGGAAGTAGGATCAACTCGGTGGTTAGTTGCCGATGAGATTTCTGCACGGATACAAAAGGCTCGATGGCTTTTGCCAATTTGCGCACCTATGGCGCCGCCGTGATATTCGTTTGTCTATTAAGGGTCGCGTGTACTGCACAGCAGTCCGCTCTGTTCTACTGTATGGCTGTGAAACATGGCCATTGAAAGTGGAAGACATGAGAAGGTTACAGGTATTTGACACCGTTGCCTTCGTAGTATAGGACGTATTCCGTGGTGTCACGTGAGTAATGCAGAAGTTAGGTGTAGAGTTTTAGGAGAAGAGGTAAGTCAGTCGACGAGGTTGTGAACCTTCATCGACTGAGATGGTTGGGACACGTACTACGTATGCCTATCACCGATTGCCTCTTCACACAATGTTGGCTGAGGTGGGTTCAGGCTGGAAAAAGGCCGAGGTGGCCAGACTAAAACATGGCACCAATGTATGAAGTCTCTGACTTTTGGTTTAAGCCATGTAGGAGATGCAGACTAGGTGGTTGGGGTCCACGGACAAGAGGAACCAGGGTTGGAGACCTAGGTGATATGGCTCAGAACCGAAGTCAGTGGCGCAGATGTATACACACATTATCCTCATCTAACAACGCTATACCGAATCTCACTATTTTGTCACTCCTCTTTCCTTTCTCTCATACTTTATATTTCTTTTGACTGCATTCACTTATCTTCATCCTTCACCTCACTACCTTTTTACTTGATGTGCTGATATGAGGTGTGGCAACTCGGACCGTTACGCAGTAATGCCTGGTCCTATGTTGATAATGATGATGATGATGATGACGCCTACACTGAGAGGTTATCAGCATCGCATCCTTTACACTGATGGTTTCACTAACGTTTATTTCCTTGTTGCCGGTATCTTTGATAAGCCTAAATAGTTGTCGAGTGTTACCCACCAATGATGCTTCCTTCATCTCTTGGTCAACTTATGTTGAAGTTGATTTCGCTCTTCATCGTGGTCACGGACCACTGGAATTAGTCTCCTCGCATCACTCAGTTATGACGACGTCACAGAAATCCAATGACATTTGCTAACCTTCGTGTGTAGGTTACCAATCGTCTTAACCTCTGTTTCTACGCCAGAATGGATATCACCCCGGGTTTCCTCAGAATGAGCATTGCAGTCACATTCAGGTAAATGTTTAGCTAACTCCTCCCTAGATACGTACTTGGTGTTCTCGTCTTCCAACTGAGCATAGACAGGCTTTACTATCGCCTGTTTCCTGAGACCAGCAAACCGTTTATGTAGTCATACCAGTAGAAACGCGTGATCGGAGTCTGAAGTGGTACTCCAGAAAGAGCGATAATCCTCCACTGACCTATTCCAACGGTGGCTTACTGCAATATGATCTATCTGTTGGTTTAATGTTGGTAGACACCATGTGAGACAATGTTTCTTCTTATGCTTCAAGCTATTGTTGATTATGAGAATGAAGTTGCAGTAGACGATCACCGTAGTCAGTTTGTTGGTATGGGATTGTGTAACTACCCCGAGGATACCTTTTCGATGGACTGAACTTCCGTTTTTGTGCTTTAACGTAGCCTGCCATTGTGACTACATTTAAACGTTTTGCTCTTTTTAGCGAAATTGAAAGCTTTTCATAGAACTCATCCTTTGCACGACCCAAAGTGCATTCGGAGGAGAATACAATAATGCATCGGTTGGTCTCAAGATCCTTTAGGTCTTACAGAGCCACTCATTGGTATCACACATAAACGACTGTTGACTGGTATGCAGTCGAAAACTGCGCTTTATGCTGTACAACTCAGTGACATGCCTGCACCAGCGAGTCAGTAGTAACCAACCACTGGGTCTCCGGCTACTCGCAAGGTGAATTTTGAGGATTCATTGCAGTTACCTAGTGAGTTCAATTTAATAACCACACTCGCATCCTGTATACATGTTTCAGAGGTGCAACATTCACCTATGACTCGAGATTCCAGAGTTCTGACGAGCGACACCTGCTGTCCAATTTCGGCATGATATTTCAACGTTGAAAGCTCCAGTGTGAAATGGACAACGTGGTCTTAGGAGAATAAGAACGACATTTTGATAGCTGGGATCTTTGGTTAGTGATAACAAAGTGAGAGGTGGAGGAAGTTTGAAGATGTGTAGTATTAGTATCAGCAAACGGAGGGAAGGGAGAAAACAGAGTTGAGGCAATTTTTTATTGGGTCTTGAATGCTACTGGAGGTATGCGGGTGGATGACATATCCGGCTGCCCACACCGTAGAACCCATGTTTTTGCGCTTCATTTTAGCTCAGTAAAGCTAAATAGCCATATGGGAAATGGGGCAACAAGTTAACATTGGGTGTGTATATCTACGCCACTGACAGTTACCTAAATTGGTCCCATCATCTATTTCATGTCTCTTGTATCATGACCAGGTAGTATATAGTTCCATACAATCTGTTACAGTCAGTGGGCGCTAAACGTGCGTAAGATATATAAGTTGACTAGGCTTTGTAAATTCATCTCATTTACTTGATACTCCAAACTTAACACTAACACTACTCAAGTAATTGTTCCACTAAACATGAGGAATGTTTCGAAGATCCAGTATCTATAACCTTTGTGTAACCTTCAGTAACTATGTTGCATGGCGAAGTGTTGCACAATGAAGTTATTATGTCGGAACCCAATAGCATTTTTT